TTCATTAAATTTTTTCAAGACATCTCCTGTATCACTTGAAATTAGGGCTTTCTGTGCTTTAAACAGAATATATTCTTTTTCTTTTCTTTTTTTTACCAGAACTGGTTAAAGTGCGAGTCACATGGAAAACATATGTATGCATAATGTATGCAAAATTTAGGACATTGTTTTGATGTGTTTTTATCCCTCTGTGTTTGTCAGGTGACGGATAAATCGGTGCAGGCATTTGCGGAGAACTGTCCGGATCTGCAGTTCGTGGGCTTCATGGGTTGTTTGGTGACGTCTCAGGGCGTCATTCACCTCACCCAGGTAAGAGTGAATCGTTGCGTTTGAAGCGACTCACCCGACTAAGGATTCACATAATCGAATCAGAATTTTTGAATCTTGCCGATAGTCGACTGATAGTCGAATCATATGTTTTGGGGGTGGGGCAAAATACATTACCAAGAGTCAAGTCAGACATTCGACAGTCATAATTACTGACGTTAACACACAGTGAAAATGTGTAACAGACACCTCGCAGATACAAAAGTAATATTTTATGTTTTGATTAAAAGTTAGTTAACATTAAACGTCAGCGAAACCCTAAGAATTCACAACATTTTTTACAATAGTGCTCTCATTATAACGTTATGTATATGACAGTAGTTATTAATGTTCTGCATTTCTGTTTTGAGCTGCGCGCGCTGAAGATGACCAGTCGAATGAAGCACCAGGTTTTTAACCCTCTTAGCGCCAAAGTCGCAAAATTGCGACAAGACGTCATACTTAATCAAATAGACTGTAGTTCCTAATATGGTGTAATATCTCATTTGTATTCCCTACCACTAGATGGCATACTTCAATTCTAGACCAAAATTACGTCACCTTCCTATTCAAAGTGTTTGAGGAAAGAGCAGAGCAAGTGAGCTTTCGTGTCATCGATGCAGATGCAGTTCAGTTCATAGCGTGCGGGTAAGCTGTGAGATTTGTGAGAGAAAATCGCCAAATGGCTAATAAAAAGTTGTACCGTGAGGATGTGTTGCAAATGTTATTCGCCGATTCTGACTCTGAAGGGGAATATTTGACTTTTGGAAATGACGATCGGCTGTCTAATAATCGCGCTTCTCCCGGTACATCTTTGCAGCACAATGGT